TGGCTCGCCCGCAGCGCCTTGTTGACGCGGACGCCGCCGCCCTCGCCGCCCTCGCCGCCCTCGCCGCCGCCGCCGCCCTCGCCGCCCTCGCCGCCGCCCTCGCCGCCGCCTCTCTCGCCCCCTCCGCCCTCGCCGCCTCCGCCCTCGCCGCCTCCGCCCTCGCCGCCTCTGCCCTCGCCCGAGGATAGCGGAGGTGGCGCCGTCTCCCCCGCCGCCGCGTAGCCGAGGGACGCCTCGATCTCGGACGGCGAGAGCAGACGCCACTCCCCCGCGGCGAGCCCTCCTACAGTATTAGCATCACTCCTCAGCACTACTCTTCTCCTCCTCCTCCTCCACCTCCCCCTCCGCGGGGAGCTCTCCGAGGCAGAGGCGTCCCACGTGCGTCCGCCGCAGCTCGATCACCGACGAGCCGACGCCGTGCAGCATCCGCCGCACCTGAATTATATGATATTCTATTCTAATTATTATTATAGCCGACGCCGTGCAGCATCCGCCGCACCTGCCGGTTCTTCCCTTCGCGCAGCGTGAGCCGCAGCGTGCAGCTCGCGCCTCGCTCCTCGAGCAGCTCCACCTCGGCCGGCCCGCTCTCCCCGAGCCCCCCGCCGAGGCCCACGCCGCCGCGCCGCAGCCGTTCGACTGCAGACGCGTTGAGCCGCGCCACTCTAGCGACGTACGTCTTGCTCACGGCGCCGCCGCCCTCCGCGTAGCTGCCCGCGGCCGCCCGCGAGTGCGCGGTCGGGTTGGTGACGTGGTGCAGCAGGCGGCCGTCCGTCGTCAGCAGGAGCAGCCCGGATGTATTCTGGTCGAGCCGCCCGACGGCGTGCAGCGCGCCCTGCTGCCGCAGCGCCGCCGGCAGAGCCGCGTCGGACATCAGCCGCGAGTAGACAGTCTCCCGGCCGAGCTCGTCCGAGTGAGTGACGACTAGGCCTTTCGGCTTGTGGTAGAGCAGCGTCTGCGGCGGCGGCGTGGCGGCCGGCCGTCGCGCTGAAGCGGGCCGCCTTGGCGAAGCCGCCGGGCGCCGCGCCGGCCCCGTCCGGCGTCCGCCGCCAGATGGCCGCACCGCCGTGTGTGCGTGGCAGTGCAGCAGCAGCAGCAGGAGACTCCGCATGGCTGCACGGTGGTTGTTGCGAGCAGGGTGGAGGGTGGGGCCGTTCCGCAGAGCTACCAGGGTAGGCGTGGGCACACCCCCTACTGGGGCCGAGGACAAGAGGCCGTTTGCCGCTTGCTTGTTCTTGATCCAGTCGGTACGCTCCTTGCGCGCCTGCTTGTTGATGTTTTCGGCGTCGCCCGCCACCGCCGCCTTGGAGATCTGCTGCGTGTGTGTGTGTGGTGGAGAGAGAGAGAGATATTCGACACCCTCGACGACCATCTCGGCTACGGTTCCGACTCCGGCTCCGGCCGGTAGTCGACAAGCTGCCGAGCCCAAATCACTGTGGTGGATGGACGACGAAGGAGATTAGGGTGCACGGCGAACCAGTTTTGACCATGTTTAGACCCGGTTTAGACCACGGCTGAACACGAACCAGATTAGTCCTGTTTACGATAAACTGGGTCTAAACAGGGGTCGGCCTGGGTGGGGGACCCTATTACACATACCAGGTTTAGCCCGGTTTAGGGCGCCCCTGGGCTGAGCTCCGCCGCCGCGCGGCCGCGCTGGCTGCGGAAGCGGCAGCGTGCAGCCGCCATCCTCTGCCTCGGGCCGGACAGCACACCGGGCACACTTGCACCGCGCAACAACAGCCTCGCCGGTCAGGCGCACGGTGTCGTCGGGCAGCGTGATGATCTCGTCCATGCCGTCGTCGAAGTGCATCAGCAGCCGGTCGTGCTCGCTATTGGTCGGCCAATGGGCGACGATGGTGGCGGGGAACCAGTCCGTGCTCCCATCCTCGTCCTCCCACACGGCTTCGACGCGCTGCCTCACTCCCGACGTACCGCGCGAAAGATGAGGGGACGCGCGGCGGCTTCTGCAAGCAGATCTTCGACACGTCCCGCATCGTGGCGAAGTCGCCGCCGATCTCGCAGATGTCAGTCACGGACGTGTCGTTGAGGTGCCGCGTCACCTCGGGCTTTTCCTTGTCCCCGAGGATGATGCTGCCAACCGAGCGCGCCCGGATGGCATTCTGGGCGGCCCTTAGCACCCCGTTGTGCTTGGAGGTGCGGTCGCCCTTGTTGGAGTTGGCGAGGGAGTCGCCCTTGTACTCTCCCACCGTGACGTGCTCGCCCGCGGCGGCCTTCTCGACGAGAGTGGGCGCAATCACCGACAAGTAGAGCCCGTGCCTGCGCTGTATCGCCGTCAGGAACATCGCCGACACCATCTTCGTGTGGTGGAGTCCATCAGGGCGCATGTCGAGCCATCCAGCGGCGCCGAACTGGGAGATCGAGATGAAGCGAGCTGAGGGAGGGTGTAGAGGATGTAGAGTGTAGACTGAGGGAGGGTGTAGAGGATGTAGAGTGTAGACTGAGGGAGGGTGTAGAGGATGTAGAGTGTAGAGCGCTGTAGAGCTGTAGAGATGTAGAGCGCTGGAGAGCGCTGTAGAGCTGTAGAGCTCTACAATCCGCCGCGTGACGAACTGCGTGCGTTGTAGAGCGATGTAGAGGCGCTCTACAACGTGAAATCTCTACAACAAACTCTACATCGTAAGCGGCGAACGAGGCACGGTCGCTCTCCGACATGAGGCGCGTTGCACTTGCCAGTGCTGCCCTGGCCTTCTGTCTGCCCGCCCAATGGGTGGCAGGTGCCTCTGCTGCTGTGGCATGCCTCACGGCTGCGACTGGCCGGCGCCTCGGCGCGTCAGCTCGGCTCGGCGTAGCGATAGTGGCCAGCGCAACTCGCCTGGACTCAACGCTCAGCCAGGAGCTCCCGCACGCGCTGGCGCGAGTCATGGCGCATGCAACGCGTCTGAATGCTCGCCTCGCCTCGCGCAAATGCGACCGTCCTCGCAGCCGACAGTCCACCGCCTGCTAAAGAAGCACAGCGACGAATGCGGCACTGGCGACGCATGGCAGGCTGGTCATGACGCAGTCATAGGGTGTTGTGTGCCGTCAGAGTGACTCTCTGTGTGTCAGGGATAGTCAGGGCCGTCCATCAGAGCTCCAGTATGCAGTAAGCTCGGAGACGCCCCATTAGCGCGGCTCGACCTCTTTGAGTTACTGCCTTCCCGGCGGTTTGGCTGTAGAGCCTCTACAACAAACTCTACAGCAAAATCGCGCTCTACATCGCTCTATAACGCACGCAGTTCGTCACGCGGCGGATGTAGAGCTCTACAGCTCTACAGCGCTCCAGAGCGCTCTACATCTCTACAGCTCTGCAGCGCTCTACACTCTACATCCTCTACACCCTCCCTCAGGAAGCGAGTTGCGTCCCCCGTCCCTGAACTTGATCGCCTCCGACTGCGGCGTGTTTTTGTCGACCTCCTCGCACGCCGCCAGGCACGCGATCCACGCTTCGTGGGCCCCAACAGCAGCGAGCGTGCCCTGTTTCGGGACTGGAGAGGTGCTCTGCTGCGTGAAGTCGCCAATAGGCAGGATGCGCTGCGCCGACGGCAGCATGGACGGACAGAAGCGGCCAAGCTCGTACGTGTGGCAGAGGCCAAACTCCTTGTCTTGTGCACGCACCGCGTAGATGCGCGCGACATCGCCACGCCGTTGGCTGATGTCATTGTAGTAAAAGTCCCTGCGCCAACCAAAAGAACAAAAAAAGGAACCCCCCCCCGCCCACACACACACACAACACACACACACACACACACACACACACACACACACACACACACACACACACACACACACACACACACACACACACACACACACACACACACACACACACACACAGACAGACAGACAGACAAGAGAGAGAGAGAGAGAGAAATGGGGTTTGTGTTGAGGAGTGACCCGTGCCGCCGTGTGCCCCGCAGCGGCCTCGCGGGGCCAGAAAGTCGGCCCCGAGTGCCAGCAGCAGCCTCGTTGAGCCAGCCAGACAGAACGTCGGCTCGCGAGGTGGGTGCTAGTATGAGCCCGATCCGTCGCAGTGCTCTTGCAGAGGCGGTTAGTGGTGCACTAACCCCGAGAAACCCTTCGGGTCACTCCTCATCGCAAACCTGTCAGCAGTCATTGAAATGACACGCTGGAAAAGTGCGAGAAGTTCATGATTCGCTCGCATCGTGTCGCAAGAATGCAGACCAGCGAAGACCCCGTCAACTTCGTCCGCCGCGTCTTCTCTCTCGTCTTCGAGGGCGAATCGCTCTCCAAAGCTGTGCGTGGCGTCCGAGACTTCTTCTCGGTCGATTTCGTTCTTGACGCTGATGGGCGCAGCCTCAACCGATCTGACTTCGAAGCTACGCTCCTGGCCCAGCGATCACGGGTCGTAGCTCCGCCTCGCATCGCATTCTCGCGGCTGTGCGCCTCCGCGCCACACGACGGCCGCATCACTGTGACGTCGGTCCACACTTCACACCTCCGCCTCCGGTCTGGCTCTGTTAGCCAGCGCGTGATTGCCGTCCTCGAGATTGACGTGGCGAGCGGACTGCTCGTCCGCTGCGATGAGTTGACGCGGATGGAGCCCCTTCCGCCCGGCCGCCTCACCGTCTCCGAGCAGCCGCCTGGCCGCCTCACCGTCTCCGAGCAGCCGCCTGGCCGCCTCACCGTCTCCGAGCTGCGGCGCCTCCGGTCCGACTCTGGTGCCAATGACGTGCCCATCTCGCCCGAGATGGCGTGCTGGCCGCGTGAGGCGGCCATAGCCTACTTTATCTCCGGCGGGGTGGTCCGCCCCGTACAACAGACGCTTGCGCCGCCGCCGCCGCCGCCGCCGCCGCACGCCACGGCGCACGTGCACGCGCGGTCGCAGCAGAACCCGACGTACCCGCCGCGCTTCCCGGTCGAGGACGCAAAGGTGAGCTGGAAGGTGCCCTGGCCAGAGTACTCGCCGGTGCCCTTCGTGGCCCCCTCGGTGCTCGTGGCCGAGCGGAGCGACACCAACCCGAACGGCTGGGCCGACAGCCCGCGGCCGAACCTCGCGGAGCTCAAGCACCGCCTCTCGTGCGAGGGCCCCCTCTTCTTCGACGCGGACCAGCGGCCAGTCAACCCGCGCGGCCGCACCGGCGTGTGCGGGCGGGGCATGCTCGGCAAGTGGGGGCCCAACCGGGCCGCCGACCCGATCGTGACGCGCTGGAAGCCCGGCGATAAGCGGAAGCTGCAGATTGTCGCCATCCAGCGCGGCGACACGGGCGTCTGGGCGCTGCCGGGCGGGATGGTGGACGCGGGCGAGGTTGTGTCGGTGACGGTGCGGCGCGAGTTCGCCGAGGAGGTGGGCAACATGGCCTCCGACGCCGAGCGCGCCGCTTTCAACGCGGCCGTCGACGAGCTGTTTGCGCACGGCGAGGTGGTGTACCGCGGCTACGTCGACGACCCGCGCAACACGGACAACGCGTGGATGGAGACGACGGCGTTCCACTTCCACTGCACGGCCGACCTCGCCGTCCAGCTGCCGCTCCGCGCGGGCGACGACGCGCACAACGTGACCTGGCTCGACGTCGACGACGCCGAGCCGCGCTACGCCGCGCTGTACGCCTCGCACAAGGACTGGGTGGACCGGGTGGCGTGCGAGCTCTCCGCCAGCGGCCCCGCCGCCGCCGACGCGTGCGAGCAGGCGGCGGCGGCGGAGGTGATGGGCGAGGAGGCTGCTGCGGAGGTGGGTGTCGCGGCCTCGCTCGACGCACTCAGCCGGAGCAGCACGTTCGAGAGGGAGCTCGACGAGCAGGCGGAGGCGGACGCGGCGCGCGGGCCGCTGCTCGGCGGCCTCGCCCTCCGGAGGTGCAAGAGCTCGCCGACGCCGGGCGTTGCTGCGGTCGTGCCGCTGGGGCTCGAGGAGGCGCTCCGGAGCGTCGGCCCGCTCGTGCGGCCGGCGAGGCCGGCGCGGCCGGTGCGGCCGCCGGCGCGCCCAGTCGGGGTGGTCGTGTGCGTGACGTAACACTCTACGCTCTACGTGTGTTTTTTAGAGGTCAAGGTACAAGATACTTTTTTCACATCTCAGCACATGCTGAATTCCGTACGCCGCAGGGCTCCGTCCTCCGTGCGGGATAAAGCCGTATTGCGTATATCTCCCTGGACCCTGCATGTGACGGATGTGTGCTGACCTGTGAGCTGTGTCATACCCTGATCGCTACGGTTTCTCAGCTCTCCGCGACGCGGAGCGCGTGCATCGCGCCCTTGAGCTCCGCCACCTGGTCGAGCGCGTCGCCGAGCAGCCCCTTGGCCACGCCAAAGTCGCGCAGCTGCTCCACGCCGCCGCTGCCTCGCCCGCACCTCGGCGGCGTGGTCGGCCACGCGTGTGCGCCGCCTCGAGCAGCGGCACGGCGGTCGCCGGCGCGACGCTCTCCTTCAGCGCCTGCGCGCAGAGCAGCTCGAGGCGCGGCACCTGGTACATCTGCGCCAGCTCCCGCAAGTCGAGCGCGCGCTGCGCCCTGCCGCCCTCCTCCTCGCCGAGGGGCCGAGGTCGAACTGGTAGGTGAGGAGGTAGCGGACGAGGGCAGTGAAGCTGGCGAGGTCGGTGTGGGACACCGTGACCTCGGCGGCGTCGTGCTCCTTCATGCCGATGCCAAACATGGTCCGAAAGACCGGGGACGGTTCTTGCTCACGTGCTTGATGAAAGGACCGTTCTTGCTCACGTGCTCGATGCGCTCCAGGTCGTCGCCGACCAGGAAGGTGACTTTCCCCTCTGGGAGGGTTTTGTCGCCCCACGTCTTTGCGAGGTCAGCTGCAAGGCTCGAAGGCGGAACAAAGATCGGGGCAAAGGAGGGAGGCGGAGGAGGCGCAGCCACGCAGACCTGGCGGAAGCCATCTCCCGAACTGACCAACAGCGTGCTCCCGTCTGAGCTGATGGCGATGCCAGCTGGGCCGTTGAATTGCGCCGCGTCGCCCACGCCATCAGCGCTGCCCCTGGTGCCACTGCCCGCGACCGTCGTCACCTCTCCCGTCGCCACCTCCACCCGCCGGATCTTGTGGTTGGCGAGGTCCGCCACAAACAGCGCGCCGCCGTCTAGGCTGATGGCGATGCCAGACGGGATGTAGAACTGCGCAGTCGCCCACGCCATCGGCGCCGCCTTCTTCGCCGCTGCCCGCGATCGTCGTCACCTCGCCAGTCGCCACCGCAACCCGCCGGATCTTGCGGTTGCCTTGGTCTGTCACAAGAACAGCGCGCCGCCGTCTTGGCTGAGGGCGATGCCACGTGGGTAGTCGAACTCCGCCGCGTCACCCACGCCATTCGCGTCGCCATCCTCGCCGCTGCCCGCGAGCGTGGTCACCGCGCCAGTCGCCACCTCAACCCGCCGGATCTTGTGGTTGCCTAAGTCCGCCACAAACAGCGCGCCGCCGTCTTGGCTGAGGGCGATGCCACGTGGGTAGCTGAACTGTGCCGCGTCGCCCACGCCATCCGCGTCGCCATCCTCGCCGCTGCCCGCGAGCGTCGTCACCTCTCCCGTCGCCACCTCAATTCGCCGGACTTGTGGTTGCCGAGGTCCGCCACAAACAGCGCGCTCCCGTCTGGGCTGGCCGCCGGGACGTGCAGCAGCGAGTCCTTGGTCGCGACGTACCAGGCGCCCGCGTGGTCGCTCGCGACGCCAACGCGACTGAGCGATAGAGGGCCGTCCTCGCCCTCGAGCGCCAGCGTGGTGACCTGGCCGGGAGCGCGCTGCCCAAAGATGGGCGCCTCGAAGCCACCCGCGACCGGCACGGGCTCCTCGCCCTCCTCGGCGTCCTCGCCGGTGCGGGCGCGCTTGCTGGCGGCGGACGCCATGCCACTCAGGTGGAAGCATGCCTTCTCGAGGTCTCGGGGTTTTAGGTTTGTTGTTGGCAAACCAAGATACAGATCTCACACAGAATCACGAGGTTCTCGAGGTGGATATCCTTTGGCCGCGTTGGGTAGCGAGGATTGGTGTGACGCGATCCACGCAGGCGTGGTTTCTGACGGCCGACCGTCAGTGCACGGAGTTGCCCCTTCTCCGTCCGACTGCCCCGGCTAGTTCACGGGTTTCGCGGGAGTGACCCCATGCATGCGTCAAACCCGAGACCTAGCGCGGGTGGGTTGGAGGGGGCTCGCTGCAGGGAAGGGCGGTGTAAGAGGCCGATCCCCGCAGTCCGCCCCGTTCCTCCCCATCGGGCCGCATGAGCGGCCTCGCCTCGCAGATTCGTTTTTCGCGCCTGGGTCAGGCGCGCGGGGCATCCCCCGGGTCGCTCGACCAGCGATCCGAAGAGTGGCCGCTATGCGAGGGACAGAGCGGGGCCCCCGGGGTACGCCTCCGTGCGGCCCCCTCTCCGAGGGGGGAAGGGAATTGCGGGGTCCCCACGGGCGCCTCTCTTCGGCCCTCCCGAGGGGGGGAGGGGAGCAAGGGGGTGGGGGGGTCGGGGTGGGGGGAGGGGTCTCGGATTTCGTGGGTCTAATACTATGTGGGTGTATTTTGTGAGTACACACACACACACACACACGGTGTATTTTCTTGCTTTTTTGCTCTCTGCTAAGAGAGCAAGCAAGCCCACCCACGCTTATATAGTCACCGCTTTACAGTGGTGTTTTTGTCGCATCGGCTGCAGCCTCTGCTGGGGCGGAATGAGCGGAAACCGGAATGCGCGGGGTTTGCGGCGCGATGCCCTCGGCGAGTCGACACACGCTACACACCTACTAGCCCGGTCGAACACTGCCCAAACAAATAAATTCCCCCTTTGAGCTGAGAGGTTTGGGGATTTCGCTCCGAGCGACGGTCCAACGAGAATCGTCAAAATCAGGCAATCAAGAGACCGGTAGCCACCAGCATGTCGGTGCGTCTTTCTCATGCTCCCGCGCCCCCCGCGCCCGAACTATGCACGGGCCCGGCTCGCCCGCTTGGGGATCCACCCGGCACATCCCCGCCTCCCACCTGCCGGCTTGCCTGCCGTCAGTTCACGCGGGATCGCCCTCAACTGTCAGCAACAGAAATCCACCACTGTTGGGACTGCCTTCACCCTCGCCTCACAGCCGACCTTCTGGTCGTACGCGGGTTCTTAAGGGTCGTACATGCCGGCCATGACGTCTTCCAACCGGCCGTTCGCAGGCGGTAGCTTCGCACGTCCCCGACAACTCCGAGAATGACCCGCACGAGAAGTGCGCGTCGGCGGCGCACTTTTCCTCCCAGGCTGTGGCTGCTGCCTTGGCCACCCTGGCCTCCCTCGAGGGGTCGCCAGGACCCGCCGCGGCCCTGGCGCGGCCCACGGGCGGCTTGATGCTCATCGACGCCTTCACCCTCGTCGGCCTGGCCGGAAAATACGCCAGCCGCTCGGGTGCCGCCCGCCTCCTAGAGGCCGAACCACCAGTGCTGTGAGTATTGACGCCCTCCCTGCACCTCAGGCGCGTCCCTCGCCCTCGCCGCCGCCGCCGCCGAGCCCGCCGCCGCCCTCGCCGCCGCCGCCCTCGCCGCCGCCACCGTCGCCGCCACCGCCGAGCCCGCCGCCGCCGTCGCCCCCTCTGCCGGCGCCTTCTCCGCCCTCGCCACCCCCACTGTCGCTTTCCCCCCACCAAGCCCACCACCGCCGTCGCCGCCGCCGCCCAGTCCGCCTCCGCGTCACCGCTGCCTCCCTCGCCGCCGCCCCCAAGCCCGCCACGGCCGCTGCCGCCGAGCCCGCCGCCGCCATCGCAACCGCCTCCGAGCCCGCCGCCACCAAGCCCCCCCCCCGCCCGCCAGAGGTCCTGCTTACCGATACACACCACCACGGGCGGCGCGGATCACGAGAGACAGCTGAGATGGACC